AAATTTCTGAGATAACGTCTTTAGTACTTATCATCTGTTATGAATTATCTATTATTGGAAGATTCATATGTCAAATTTGGCGCATATTTTTCGATAATCCACTGTCCATGGTATTGACTAAACTCGAAATAATTCACGAAAAATTGATACGCCTAAATATGGGCGTACTGATGAATATAAGCATTATGAATTGGATTCCTATAGTTCAACTTATTCTAAATGTTATACTAAATTTAATAGCTACGACCGCATGGACGATAATGTACCATCACAGCCATTTTTTGGAAATAAATGTTTTGGTAATTATTAACATCTAAACATATTTTATAAACCAATAAAATATAAGTAGTTTTTCCCGTGGAATTAATAAGTACTGAGAAAATCGAAAAAAATTTCTCTTTAAAGTAATATATTGATTCAATTTGATTATTTGAGCATTTTGGACATCCTTTTGAAAGAACTTTTGTATACAGAATAAAACGAAAAAAAAAAATTATTAAAATAAACACCATTTAAAACCACTAGCATCGTCAGTTCTCTCTTGCCATGTTTTAGATTAACTCTTTGAGGGGCGAAAATTTCCTTTAGAAAAAAGACCCATGTGGGCAATATGTCTCTTTACCATAACATTTAGTACGTATATCAAAATATTTATAATGATAATAAATGATGAAAAACGCGAGAAATGATATCAGACCAGCGGCAGTGATATTGTTTGATGCATGTATAAGATGATAATAAGGTGATTGGTATGCTGACCATCATCAAAAAAATATTAAAAATAATTTTAAAAGTGGTTAAAATAGTAACCACCGCACCTGAACGGTAAAAAAAAAAAGTGGTTAGCATACTAACCACGGCCCCTCAAAGAGTTAATCTAAAACGAATAAATTCTCATACAAATTAACAGCGATAATATTTATTAAGATCTGTCATTTTTTAAATTTTTTTATAGAGTTATTAAATATAACGAATAAATTATGTGAGTGTGGGGCTACTTCCCTCACAGATTTATTTCCACTAAAATTGGTTTTGGTGCTTGATCCCAATTATTATTTTTAAGTACGCCTACCTATGCATTTCCACTATTTTACAAAATACATGGTAAAACTATCATTTCAAAACCACTGGAGGGTTATTAATTTATTAAAATATACAGTTTACTGTCAAAATTAAAATGCATTGTTTATTATGCAGTAATTTGCTACAATATTTTAAGAGTACACTTGTAGACTCTAGTATACAAGAGATCCTGTTTTGTGTTGCAATCTGTAAGAATTATTAGGTAGTTAAATAATTATTGTCAAACATAAGGTAAAAATATTATCTGTGCAGTAGTTAGCCGGGATATTTTATATTTAAAGTTAGTTTTGAGTATCTATAAAATGAAATATTTTGTATGAACATTTGAATATCCTAAAATTATTTTCCTAAAACATAGATAATAGTCTCGTATAATAATAGATCAATTCATTTTATTAAGGAAACTTAATACTATTTTTTAGTAGAATAAAATAATGATAGAAAAATGAGTGTCCACAAGTTGGGAGAAAATTTGTAGTAGAATAAAATAATAATGTAGAGTGGGTAGTTGGTGGTATAGGGTATTTAACTTATGGAAGTAGGATATGTGAGATACTTATTTATGATCCATATGCTTAATATTTATAAAATATTTTCTACTATGTGTATGATTTTACTCTAATACATGATATTATTATATTTATGATGGGACATAGAGTTAAATTCTTAACTTAAATACTTGTAAACGTGGTGTCTATGTTATATGTATTTATTAATATAGAAAGTAGAAATATAATATATTAAAATCTGTTTTGAACACTATTTTGTTATATGGATACAACATGAGTGGCTGTGAATTATTTCTATATATCACATATTTTTAGATCATTGTGACGGTTTTAAATACTTGTCAATACGTTGTATTTTATGAATATATACAACTAATATCCTACATAAAGTGGATGGTCTACATGATAAATGAACAAATTCCGGAAAAAAGATCTTGTTTAAGTACCTACAGAGACATGTACTTGGAAGTCATAGAATGCTTACACCAAGTCAACAGATCAATATATGGTGTGCCGGCCATTGTTGTTTTTATTGCAGGAAATGTAGCTGAAATCATTATAATTATATACAGCGATTTCTTATTTCCTAGAGACTATTTCACTGATCCTTATTTGTTATATTCTTTCATATGGTTGTTAATAAGAGCAGTCAATATTCTAACTTTATACACGATTGGTGACTTAACGGAAAAAGAGGTATTTATGTCTTTATATTATATTATACATTATTTGAATTTATTGTAGATTTAATTAACTTTTAAAAAATAATTTCCAACCTTCTATTAATACTTTTGTCAAAAAAAAAAAAGAATAAATATTAAATTTTTACATATTTTATAGTATATACCAATAATACAACTTTCGTAGTACGTATCAGTTTAGTGTACATATTGTATTAAAGTATCAGTAAACAGAAGTGTATATAATATATATGTAAGAATTTAAAAATTCAACTTTGTGTTTAGTAAGTTATTAGTATATTCGACTTCTTTATAACTTACTATTGTATTTCCAGGTAAATCGAATAAGTCTTGTCTTACAACAGCGATCCTTAATAGAAAGAAACCCTAGAATTAAACGTCAGGTATTTACTACTATTTTAAGTATTAACTAGGTACATGTTATTTAATATACTACATAAATTATTGAAAGGAGTAATTTTTTTTTTTTATTTAGATCAAGTTTTTTTTACTACGCAGAGTACACGAACACTACCATTTTGAGCTGTATGGAATATGTCATATTAATCTAAAACAACTACTTAGTTTATCAAACAAAGCAATTGGTTATTTAATAATTCAAATTTTGTTTAAATTGAATAAATAATAAGGAGAGATAGTTAACCGGTATGAGAGCTGATTTATTAAACGTAAAACACTCAAAGCTTAGCTTATACTAAACATTTTTACACAGCTATTGTATTAAATTTAATATATTTCATAAGTTGTAACTAATTGTCTACTCGCACTACTTATACAATATTTTATTTTAGATTCTGAGTGGAGCGATGAATGTATTGATTTTACAAAGATGTGTATTTTATTTTTATTTTTATTAGTGTCTGGCAGTGACGTTATTTGATCATGTGTGTGTGGAAGATTGAAATATTTACCATCCCCATGCCACCTCCAAAAATAAATTTGGTTTATATTATAAAAACCTGTCAGTCCAACTATTGTGATCTGTATAGTGTGTAATATAAGTAGGGTACCTACATAGGGTACACGTAAAGTAAAGTAAATAAATAAATATTTCATACAATTTAATAATATTTTAAATGTATATTTTCGAGTAGATTCGTGGAATAATTTGTGTAGACGTAAAATACTCAAAATTACAATCTCCATAAAATTATAACCAAACATTATATTATGTTGAAATCCAAGCACTCTTTCTGGTAGAACTTTTGTATACAGAGCAAAACAAAAAAAAAAAATTAAAATTAAAAAATTAAAATAAACATCATTATAAAACCACTAGCATCGTCACTTCACTAAGAATCTAAAATTTTAAAAATTGTATAAAATTAAAAAAACACACATCATTATAAAATCATTACATTCATTGCTCCACTCACAATCTAAAAAAAAACGATTTTTTAATTTTAGTTTGTTAAGTTTTTTGCTTATTTTACTTTGTGTCTTTTGAGTGGGTTCACGGTGCATCATCGTGACCTATAATTAATAATAAATAATAAATAATTTGTTTTCAAAAATCCACGTTTTTTAAGTTTCTATATTATGCTTGTGTGTTTCCTCAAATATAATATAATATATTTCAATTAACGAATAATATTATTATTTTTTCTTTGATTATTCCGTTTTCAAAACTCATATTATTATTATTATTATTATTATTATTATATAATTATATATTTTTGAAATGTATACGTAAATCATAGGGAATAAAATCGATGACGGATGATAAAATAAAATGTTTATTTTATTCTTATTCGTTAAAACAATATAGGCGTTTAAAAAATTATACACTTATGTTTGACGTAGAACTTTTTTTTCTTTTCAAACAACTAATTTTGTTGTTAACGGAAATAATATTTACGAAAAAATTAAAATACATTAATATCAATTGACGATATTGTTATATTTTGTTTAAAAATTTGTCCGAATTCCCTGATCGAAATACAATAATAATTTTCTATTTGGTACTCCTATGATCTGTTTACACGAACGAACATTAAAATTACTATATGTTGTTTAATGTTACAATGTTCATAGTTATAAATTATAATATGACGTCTTACTTTCCATCAATCGAATATATTAGTTTCTTTTATATAACATAAGAAGGCAATATCCGATGATGAATTGGACCAAATTAATCAATCACACCACGGTGCTACCATTTTTAGGGCAACCTTATGTGTACAGAAGGACGTTGTTGGAATGCTCGAATCTGATGTCACACATTTTTTGTAAAATTGTATTCATTAGTAAATACCTATTGATCAGCAAATTTTATTTGTATAGATTCTAAGCAGCATTAATTGTATATAATATTATAATAAATAATACCTACGTATATAATACTTTATATACCTACTTAATATTTTCATTTGCTTTTAACAAAATTAAATTTTTAATAACAATTATTGAAACCCGTACCAGTGGCGTATTTAGGAATTTTGCTAGGGGGGGGGGATGAAATATATAATAATACATCCTAACACCCATAAATCCGTACATAATATACATTTTTAAAATCCCCTAACTTGTTACCTATTGAGGTTAGTGTGGATCAAGGCAAAATAAAAATTAACACAAATAATATATAAGTACCTAATAGCATTTATTATAAGTTCATACTAGCACCAATCCCGTGTTTAATACGATAAAAAAAAAATAATAATAATAATAATAATAATAAAATATATATATATATAATATATAGTTACAATACAAAATCCAATTTTCTGTTTTTTTGGATGCTCAGTTCATCGATAACCTCATCAGGCATGATTTGTATCGACCGGTGACATGCCAATAAAGCCAACCCATTAAGTCGGTTCTTATAAACAAAGTATATAATAATTACTAATTTATAATTATATTTCAGTATTAAATAAGAAAATTGATAAAATATTTACTTCTGTCATACTATTTCTTAGGTAAGACTTAATCCTCTTCAAACTTGAAAAACATCGTTCAGGTGTAGCAGTCGATACAGGCAATGTACAAAAAATTTTCAAGAGTTCATGAATATTTGGATAAAACTCTTTATCACAAACATCCAACGCATGTAACCCAGAGGTGAATACAATTTTTTCATTCACCAACTTAACTCTCCACATCTTTAATTCAGCAATGCTAGAGTGTTGGTCAATTGTTGATGAATAAAACTCAACAAGCTTTTGAAAAGCAACAATATCTTCCATTTCTACCATAAGTGATTCTGATTGGAAAATGCAATTAAAACCTATAAAATAAATTATATGTAATAGGTATAAAGTTGCAAATTCTAAAAAAAAGTGTATAAATATTAAATATAATACATATAATATATTTACCTTCAAATATAGCTTTATGATTAATAAATCGCTCAGTCAATTGCATTAAATAGTAATCGACATACGGTAAAAATACTGTAACACAATAATAATGTTCAATGGAACAATCCAGAAGATTTGGATTATCTCTCAAAGTTTGTTTTGAAATAACTCTCTTTTTTTTTAATTCAATACCAACATTGTCTGCAGCCATCTAGAAGATAAATATTAAACATTTTGAAATTTGAACACAATGAAACTATTTTTTTTTAATTATTTACTTTAACATTTATATAGATTTGACTAAATTCGGTTTTGTAATTGTCTCTAATGGCCTTCAGAGTGATTACTACATTCTCAACTATAGCTATAGTTTTTTTTAAATCTATTTGTACTTTTTGTAACTGCTTACATAGAGGAAGACAAAAAGAAAATAGGAACTGAAAAAAAAATTTAATTAAAACACTAAGTAGGTTATAAATTGTATAGTAAAAAATTGAAACATTTATGAATACCTTAACTATATAAAACGAAATTAAGAATTCGGTATCTTCCATAGAATGTTTAAGCATAGAGGCGTCTGCTGGATCTTTCCAATCACATATTGTGTCTAATGCTTTAAGAACGAATGGATAGAGCTCAGAGAAATCGTTCACTGCATCATACCGTTGTACCCAACGGGTAGCACATAGTCGTTTTAATTGTTTTACACTGGGCTCGTGGTCTGAATTTTCAATCTCATGTAGAAGAATAGAATTTCTTTTTGGAGTATTGAAAAACTGATAGGCCTTTTCAATTATTCCTAAACAATTCCTAATTGGTCTAATACCACTAGCTGTTGATACAGCTAAGTTCAGTGAATGTGCTGAACAATGGACATAAACTGCTTTTGGATATTTTAACCTAACAATACTTTGTACACCTCTAAATTGCCCAGACATATTACTGGCCCCATCATAGCCCTGTCCATGCAAATAACTACAATCAATCCCACATTTGCTTAAACCTATAAAACAAAATTGTAATTTACACTTAATATTGGAAAAAAGATAATAACTAAGTAGTTTATACAAATATGTACGAATAACAGTTATTATTTAATACTATAGTATAAATCATGATTACCATTTAATATGGAATTTGCCAAAGCTTCACCAGTCAGACTTTCAATCTCAAAAAATTGTAAAAAATCTTCATGCAACATGTTATCATCACTGACATATCTTACACAAATAGCAAGCTGTTCTTTTGTTGAAATATCTGTGGTTTCATCGGCAAGTACCGAGAAACATTTAGACTCGTTCACTTTTTTTGCAATTTTTTTCAATAGTATTGTATTACAGGACTCTATTATATCATTTTGGATAGTTGGACTGGTGTACTTATTTCTTTTCCCTGGACCCTCAAGAATACTTCGTAAAAAATCATCACCTTTTGCTCTATATTTAAGTATGGCCCGAAAATTTCCTTGTCTCAAAGCATCTTCTAATAACAATACAATTAAAAATTGAACAAAATAATCTCAAATAATTCAAGAAATGCATTATAAATATAAACTCACCATCAACTGAAATGCTACCAAAATCTTTATGACCACGTAATGCTAATTCTTCTCTGCCACATAATAATATACATTCAATAATCGGTCTAAGTCTTTTGCGGTTTTCTTCAACTTGAGTCATTCTAGGTAGTTGGCACAAAATATAATACATATTATAATATAATAAAATAAAATACCTCAGTTGGCCTCTATGACCTCAGTTGTTGAAGCCTTAAAACCAATAAATTAATTTAATAAATTTATTTTATGGTATAAAAATAATAATACCTATTTCGATCAATTCGTTCGATTATAGATGGTTCTTCTTTGTTTAAAACCTTCAAAAAATGCTCAGAATCAAGAACTGCTGACAAATGATATTTACAATTCATATGATATCGAAAAACCTGGAAAGCATTTTATCATTTGTTAAAAAATTACGTGATTACAAATTACAAAATAAATTAGAACCTCTTTAGCCTTTTTCCAGTTTGTAAAGGGTTCAGTTACTAAGTTTCCCAAAGATTGACTTCCAACACCACCACTCTTTGCAAATAAAACACAGTGTTTACAGAAAGCACCACTTTTAATTTCTGAATAACAAAGCCATTTAAATTCATGAAGCCACTTATGTTGGAATTTCAGTCCACGTTTTTTATTGCATTCAAGTATAGGAAAGTTATACTTTGTATCTGGGACCCACAGATTAGTAAGCACCTATAGAACAGAAGAACTTTTTTAAAATTTTATTATAAATCAATTTGCTGAATTTATATTGAATAAAAATGTATTTAAATCATAAACGATGTAAAATTAGTAAGGAACAAAGAAACTTACAAGTTTTGTATCGGCATCTTTTAAAAACGATTTATCAACGATATTACCAATATCATTTATATTTGTAATAGGTTTTGATGTGGATTGCAATAACTCATGTTCTTCTTCTTCAGATGCAGCCTAAATAGCCAAATAAACAAATTAATAAAAAAAGACAATTAATGACAATTTATAATTTTAATTAATTATTTTATTAATTTTTATAATTACCTCATCATTTTCCAAACAAATTTTTTTATTTGTACTAAAATAAGAAAATAAAGTGTTTTTTTGTTTTTGAGTATTACTCATATTGTATTATTGTCTTAAAACTTCACAGTTACAACTAACAAGACGAAAAAAATAAAAGTCGAACAATAGTTAATTCGGCAGTAAGTCAGTACTCGGAATGGCGTCGCTACTCGCTATCCGTCAACGTCCAACGACCGTAAATATCTACTTTTCACAAATCACGATATCATACGATAAAATATAATGTAATAATAATATCTATAATCGCTATACATTAGCGATTAGCCATAAATCTACTAGTAACAAATTTTCTAAAAATAAACCCGGCCTATGGTTAATCCACGGTATTCATGGTCATTTTGTTTTGTTTACCGATTGCTTATCGGGTTTATTATAAACACTCTTGCATGAAAAATAATTCGCAGAAACGTACAAAATACAGTACACCATAATATAGGTATAGTTATTGTTGCCTGATAGTCGTACATGCCGCCAACGATTAGTGGCGATTAGTAATTAGTATATCAGACTATCAGAGCGGTACAATTACTACAATTACCACGACTAGAACATTTATTAAACATACCTACATGCTTGAAAGTAATTTCACTTATAATTATATCATATTAAGAATATTAGAGAAAATGAGACAACTTAGCTAGTTAGCTACCTAGGAAAAAAAAAAAGGTCAAGGGGGGGATCTATCCCCCATATCCCCCCCCGTAAATACGCCACTGACCCGTACATTGAGTATAAAAAAATGGCTTCAATGACGATAAGGTATTATATTTAGGTGTGAAGATAAATAAAATATATTATGTATATTGTATACACAATACACCGTGTTCGAATTGGAATAATAATAGAAAGGGGACTAACAGACTTTAAGAAAACAAGCTTAGGTACTTTACAATGATTAAATTCAACCTCACTCGTGGATGGCTTTGCCCCCCCCCCCCCCGAACCACCCTGACGGCTGACCATCAACCATCGACGACAGGTAGTTGAAATATAATATACCAATACTACACTAACATTAACATTAAAGTATATTCTAATATTTCTAACTACCTAATTAGGTAATCAATAATAAATTGTAATAATTAAATAATGATAAATAGATAAAAAATAATTCTAGAATACACCTTGCATTGAATATTATCCTACCTAAGTGTATGATTTAGCTCTAGAGTATCAAAGTTATACAAAGTTTGTCATTTTTACTTAATTCCACCTACGGTGGATAATTATAACCAATTAATACAAAATCCTAACCTAACCGTACTAAAATCTGATGAATAAAAAAAACAAAATTTAACCCTTTTTAAATTAATCTATCTTCTTCCCAAAAGTCTAATCTACATGCAAACGTTTATTTATAGCTGTCCCACCCAACGCCCCCGGCAAAAGTTACTTCAGGTGAAATACATTGGCAATATTATATTTTATACGTATGAGTTCAAGGACTTAAAAACGCATTAACTGTAAACATATTCCTTAATTTTTATGCTGTTTTTCCCGGCGCTTCGAAAACTATTGCGAATTTTAAAATTTTACCTCCCGAATGCACCAACTATAGATTCGCTAATGACTAATTTGTTTGGGTTTATTACAGATATTATTTATAAAAATGACAATGACCAAAGTAAAGTGACTAATATTATACAAAATTAATATGTATTAGACATTAGTAGTATTTATAATCAATGGTATTATTAATTATTATTAGCAATTTTTCATTGCTATATTCGTCGCCACTCAACAGCCCTACAGGGTACAGATAAACAACTTGCAGGTTTCAACAGGCGGAAATGCTTCGGATCAGTAATTGATAATTTCTTAGTAGGTAATTAGTTCTGTTGGATTGAATTGAACCGAGACCACACACTATCTGCGTGTTTTATTATAAAAATAACCTACCTATATCAATATTATATTATTTATATTGCTTTGATTTTATTTGATGTCTATATTTATGTACCAAATATTTTGTAATTTTATATCCAAAGCTTTCTCATAAGTATGATTGTACGAGGCTATTACAATGTACTATTATTGCATTTTATAATATTTGTAATACAATAATTTAAAAATTTTTGACGCACTTAGCATTAAATAATATTTTGTAAATTAAATTAAATTAAAAAAAAAAATCTAACAAAATGGCCAGGCCACCAGGCTATAGCATGGTCCAGGCCATCTGGAAAATTCCCATTTCCAGAATCCAGACCAGCCACTCCGCCCCAGCCCAAAACGGCGATGAATGATGAAAGACACAACAATTATAATAAAAAAAACACATATCATTGTAAAATCAATACTTTCATCGCTCCGAGTAAATTTCGTTTTCTTATCATGTTTTTAATCTATAAAAAAAAATAGACGAGACTACCAATTTTTTATTCACATACCTATGACTTGATGTTCTGATAAGTACTAAAGTACCTAACTAGGATTTCAACGGATTCCTATAATATAAAAATGACGTTAACAACACCGGTGGTGATTATGAGTTCTATACTATTGAACAATTTTATCAATGAAAAATGTTTGATAAAAATTAATATTTAACGCCATTGACCTTAACAGGTAATAATAATAATAATGGACAATGGTACGATATTGGTTGACGTAATTTACACTGACTTTCAGAAAGCATTTGACCCTGTAAACCATAAAATTCTCGTACAAAAATTAAAACATATTGGCTTTTTTGACAACTTATTAAAATGGTTTGAATCTTATCTATTTAATCGTCATCAACAAGTTAAAGTAAATGGTTATATATCATATAAATGCAATGTAACTTCAGGTGTCCCTCAAGGTGGACATTTATAACCTTGGTTATTTTTAATACTCTTATTCGATATCGATACATGTTTAAAATCTTGTCAATTTAAACTCTATGTTGATGACTTGAAACTTTATCATAATACTAGCTGATCCCGTGCACTTCGTCGCCCGTTAAATGTATCAGCTCAATATGACTCAAACTTTGTTCAATTCATTATTCAATATTCGGTGTATGGTGTTCAAAATTTATCTTATTTTTTCCGTTGCCCGGAATAAAAATTCTGAATCGCAGCAGTACATTATCAGGTAGGCAATCTACCTGCGGTAGATCGCGGACCCCGTGCTGTTTGAACGGAAGTGTATGATTTAACTATAAAGTATCAAAGTTATACCAAGTTTATTTTGATATAATACTGTGGATTAATATAACAAATTTGGTTGCTCGTAAAAAATCGCAACTCTCTTCTATATATATAAAAATGAATGTATGACTATTTTAAAATGGCTATTAAAAAATAAGGGTTGATCGTAGAAGGGTGTATGTATTTTTGTATGTTGTATCTATTATTTTTTTTTTTTATATATATAACCAATACCTTAGCAACCATTTATAAACAATTTCTACCGTAAATTATCAAAATCCCTGTTTGAGCACTTCTTTTATTTTTTTCTGGACAACCCTTATCACTTAGGGGTATGAAAAATAGATGTTAGCCGATTCTCATACCTACTGAATATGCACAAAAAATTTCATCAACATCTGTCAAGCCATTTCGGAGGAGTATGGCAACGAAAACTGTGACACGAGAATTTTATATATTAGATAGCCTGTGTAAATGATTGTTTTTAAATTGATTAATTTTTTTCAACTATTTGTAAGTATCGTTCACATTTTGTTTTTAAGAAAATCCCTCTGAAAATCCATAAACATTAAACTATAATACAAAATGTCACGAAAGTGAAGTTTGATTTTTCTTATAATATAATGATTTATTTTTATATTTTAGTTAAATACGTTTCCTAATCATTTTTTTTAGCACAGTTATACAAATTATGTCTAGTACCTACTTTATCATGTAAAAAGGAAGTTTTTCTTTTTGATTAAATATTTTTGCTTAAATTTAAGTTCTTTAAATGCTTATTTGAGTGCTTATAATGATGGTTTTAAGCGCTTATTTTAATGATTTTAAGTGCTATAAGTCCCGTGCCCTGCTATTATTACCCATAGGTTGTTCTTATCAGTAGCGGATCCAGGGGGGTCCCCTGGCAAAGAAGGCATTTGCCCCCCCCCCATCGCCGTCAATTTTGGAACTTTTTGTACTTTTTCCCTCCCATTCCCCTCCCAAAATTAAGCTCTGAATCCGCCATTGGTTCTTGTAGAAGTTATACAAACCAGCATAATTAATATACGTCGCAACCCATAAAACACCACCGACGTCTTATGATTGTTGTGAGTGTAATTTATACTACCACCACCGAAAATCAAAAATCCTTTGTTAAAAATATTTAATACTGATCTCACACTCATAATAACTTTATTTAGAACTTAAATAAAAAAAAAAAGTAATGGCAACAATTATAGTGTTTTAGGATTCATGATGTTTGACATTTGTTGATTTTAACTGAATTAAAACTACTTATTGTTATAAATTTATTAACAAATGGATTTTTACATAATAATTTTTTATAAATCAAAAATGAATACTAGGGGATATCGTTGAAGTGAAAAACAAATTATTATTAAGTAGGTACAGTGCTCAATAATTAGTATAGTATACAATGCAGGGTGTATTCTAGGTACCTAAAGTACCTACTTATAAATAATATAGTTGAAGTAAATTGATAGGTGAATTTATAATAACGTTATAATTTGTATGTTCAATTAATATTTGTTTTTATTGCACACTATTCCAATAACATTAAGAATATTAACAACTATTACGAAAAAATTTCATTTGACAGTGACATTGTTTGTGTAAAATATAATAATAAATTTTACATTTTTCAAGTTTCCACGAATAATATTTTTTAACCAGTCCCTAAAATATCCAAATTATCGTACTACACACATAGTCCCAAATCGGTCAAATCTAAATTATTTCTAGATAAACACTAGTATACGATACTATAAGTACCACCGTTCACTACTAAGCTGATAATAATAAAAATAGATAGTCTCAATAACAATGAATAATATTAACTACCTATATAAGACGTAACAACACAAAATATGTGAAGACATAAAATTGGTTATACATAATATTATTATAAATAGGTTTAATTAGAATAACACACTCTTAAATTTCGTACCTACTACACACTGCACTTTTCGTACTACACAAAGTGTGTTGTACTACACATAATTGTAGAGACTGTTTTTAACTAACTATCATAGTTGGTTAGAATATTTAACTACTAATTAATTAGCACATTTTAAGATTTTACGAAAATTTTAACTTCATGGGCTCAAAAAACAATATTGTGTATTTTTAATATTATTCAAGTGCTATTGTAACAATATATCAGGAGCTTTGTATTAAATTTTTATACTTTTTGGCCCAACAGTTAAAACTTTATTGAAATTATTTTTTTTTTTTTTGTTTATTAAATGTTTTATTCAATCTGTTACACAAAGAACAATAAGAACAATTGATGAATAACAAAAGTAACAAAGTAGATACAACAGATCGTAGAAGTCTCCCATTGGAGATAGGTACTACATTAATTGAAATTATTTGTAGAAAAAAAATTCAAAACTCTAAATGTCCGTAAACAGCTCAAAAAGAGTCAAAATATTTGGTGTATAAATTATATGGTGTATAGGAAATGCTAATATAAACATTCAGTGAAATTTTCATGAATCTACAGTTATTCGTTATTCAATTACAACAAAATAAGGAAATCGCTACATGAGAAATCGAGTGAATATCCAATGTTGTACAAATTTGAATTTCAAACGCTCATAAAAATTTTATTTGACTTTCTTATAGACATTCTTTTTTTTGATACAGGTAGATAATCTTATAAGAAATCTTGTATTACATTTTAAAACCTTAGATTTAAAAAGAAAAATTTTTACGAATTCTTAACTCAAAATAATTTGCTAATTTTCGTGATTTTTCCATATTTTGTCAATTTTTGAACTTTAAATGCTTTAAAAAAAAATTGTGACTAAGGATTTTTAATATTTTTCAAATGCCATTGTAACAATATAGTAGGAGCCTTGTATTAAATTTTCAACTTTTTTAACAGACAAATAAAATTTTATTGATATTTTTAGAAAAACAATTTTAAAATGTTATCGTGTATTCGTGTATAGAAAATGCTAATATAAACATCAAGTCAAAATTTCATTTATATACGTTCATTTGTTTTAGAGTTACACCAAAAACCAAAATCGATTTTTTGAAAAACCTATTTTGAGTAAAAATTCCCGTTTTTCCTTAATTTATATGTTGTTTTTCCCGGCGCTCGTGAAAACAATTGGGAATATTCAGTTTTGACTCCCCAAAGTACCAACTTGAATCCAATTTCCTATCAGAAAAGATACTGTTGAAGAAAATCCAAGCACTTTCACTGTCCTAAAACGTGATGACGGACACAAAAAAAAATTAAAAATTAATTAAAAATTAAAAAAAAACACACATCATTGTAAAATCAATAAATTCATCGTTCCACTCAGAATCTAAAACTTAACAAGTACTGTTAATTACAAACAACTTAAATAGTTACGCAATTTTTTAACTATTTTGAAATCCTTCAATGTAGAATCTTTTCTAAACTTTATTACCTGATAACCTGCATTATAAAATGTTAAATCATGGTTAAGAGTAGTTAATTTAAATTTTTTTAGCTAAACTTTTTAAATTGTTATGTTCATTAACTTCATTTTTTACTAAACTGATTTTTATTGATATAATGATATAAATTTCATAAATAACGAGTTACTTTTAATCAAATCCAAACTACATTAATTTATAAATAATTAAATAATTAATATAAATTATAATAAAATTATTAATGATGGCATACATAGTGCATAAGCATTTACTTTTTATTATTGTAAACCATTTTTATTAAAACAAAAATAATAATAATAACTTAACGTTAATAAGTTTTTTTATTTTTTTGGTTTCATCACTATACATGGGAGCCATACGTTTTCACATTCCTTGGCCCCAAGTTAATTAGTTATTCGTTGTAAGTTTCCATATCCCTAACAACAAACTATGTTAAAAAAAATGTATGATAACTATTAACTTAAAACTTATTAAAATATTTTCAATCAACTTAACTTAATTAAAAATCATTAACTTGTCCAGGCTTGGTTATATGTATATTTATTACTTTCATTGCAAAAATGTTAGATATTGAATTTAAAATAGGTATTAAAAACGTTAAACCCAAATTTTTTTCGGTTGCCCACAATTTTTTTTGAACTGAGTTATTGAGTTGTACATATTTTTGTTTTGTTTTTTCAGAATATTGTTAATTTCCTAATTGATCACAAACTCAAAAATGCTATATAGCCCGAACAGTACAATATTCAGTTATGAATATGTTTTTATTTATTTATATTTAATATATCTGTTGGATACCCATATCAGCAGTAAGTGTTTTATTAACAATTAGTTAGTTAACAGTTTACAGTGTTGTACCTAATTTATTATTTAGGATGCAGATAATATAATATAATATAGGGAATATAAATTATTTTAGGACACAGAAATATTTATGTTGAGCTGATATACTCTTAAGAATATGTGTTATTAATATATACCTACCTTGTAAATAATTATTAGAGTTTATTGAATGTTAGTAATTAGTACACTAGTATTATACTATAAGTAAATAATTATTATTGTTTGATTAATATTAGAATACTAGTATAAATGCCATATGGTATAAAATTTTATAAAATGCATACCGCTTGGTAAAAATTTAAATGAAAGAACTTTTACTAAGTCATTTTTAACCATCAATTTTTTTCAGAAAATTGTTCTTTTTATGCAACTATCGTATTTATAGTTGGATCTAATTAGTGAGTTATCTAATTCTGTTTAGTAATATAGCAATGTTATTTCACCGCTATTATAAAGTTAATTATATTAAGAAACGAATCTGAATGTAATATATCTTGGGTATAATTTAAATTTGCATTATTACCTATATTGTTTGCATAAAAAAAATAATTGTGACATTAGAACATATTATTATGTACATAAATAGTAAGCTAATAATATTTAATAAAAACATCCTTTGTACAATATTGCAATGGTTAAATTAATCCAATTGTAATTGTATTAACAAAATTAAAATAAAGATTAGAGCAGTATTTAAAATACAAAATTTAAAATAATAAATGATGTCATCAAATAATTGTATTGAACTAATTTTGTGTTGATTAGATTTACAATTAAAGATAAATTGACTGTTCAGACAGATAAATAGATATTACCTATTTTAAATAAGTAACTGTTCAAAATATTTTAACTCAAAATTAGAAATTTAACAAGAACTGAAAAAAATTAATTATTTTACAACTTTTTAATTCAGACAATACAATTTTAAAATAATACAACACAAAATATTTTTAAATCATAATTTTTTATTATAAATAGGTACTAAAAATTCTGTATTAAACATGTATTAGTGCTTACAACTAATTATAATTATCTGAATAATTAATGTTTATTTGATACTTATTCTAAAAATATGTAGTTAATTTTGGTAATCAGTTTGAAATCAATGTTTGAATAAACATTTTTGGAAAAGTAATAAAATAATGCTTATATATTATTTATTGTTTTGTACTAATACAAATTTTTATATGAAATTATTGCCTAAAATAAATTCTTTTTGTTTTAAGTATACAAATTTGAAAGTCTCAAGTTAACTACTAGGTATACCATTTTGTTACAAAACTTAGAATACACATATACAAAATATAATAAAAAATAAATAAATAAAAATTACGAAAAAATAATTTAGTAAAATAAAATTTAAAAGTAAAATGCAAAAAAAACAATAGCTTAACTAAAATAACGTACAGCCAATTTATTTAGGAATGGCGAAACTTTATTTGTTAACACAGGCTCTATAGGAAGTTTAGAATAAATAAATAAATAACTATTTTTTGTCAACAAAATGACTAAAAATAAATTAACACTAAATATACGCTCAATAAAAAATGTTAAGTAGTGTACACTAAATTTGAGTTTTAATTGTTCAATATAGTTTTGATTATAAAAAAATATATAAAATTAGCTCAGTATAATAATGAAATTTCTGAGGATTTTTATACGTTTAACAGGTGAATTAAAACAGTCTTCAATGCCACATTAGCATTTCATTTATGAGCATAACAGTCAGTCACATTTTGTTCATTTATAGATCGTTTCCACAAGTTTTGTTCTTATACATTTAAAAGTGATGGCACGTGTACGGTTTGAGGTTGCGTTTTCGTTGTATGGAATTTCAAAAGTTCAGCTACGGTTATGGCAACTTGAACAATTCCTTTTCCCTCCAGAATATCCACAGCACAACAAATCAGTTTCTAGAAAAAATTGAGCGCAGTTGTTAAAAAATTAATGCTTAAAATATATAAATTTGTTTTTATACAATACATTGTTATTAAATACAGTCAAAATTAACATATGAATTAGCAATTACTTACTTCATTCACACCAATTTTACGGCAGGCTTCCAAAAAATTATCAACGTTTCGTCTACAACGAGCCATGGTAAGTTTGGGCTATAGGTAATTAAATAAATTAGATCAATATAAATTATACTGGACACATTTTATCATTTAATTTTATCAATATTTACCACAGCTGGTGAAGGTACGTGAATGCTAGCTACAGATCTAGGTTTAACGTGGTTTGCTAAGTAACAAAGCACAACTCCATCATTAAGTGCCGGTGACAGTTCACTTGGTAGAGACATTTTTAAGCGTGATTCAATGGTCTGAAATACAACAAATTAGTTTTTAATCTATTAAACAATTAAAGAAATAATGCAAACACTAACATCACGTAGTTGTTTCACAAGTTCTGCCTCTTCTCTTGCTTTATCGTACTCCCGTTTCATTGTAAACTGAAGTTTATTTTTAGTGATTTGTGTGTTATTCTTGGACCAAACATTTGGACTACTAGGATTTGATGACATTGGTAATGATAAATTATTGACTGGAGTTGATACAATTTCAGGTGTACTTGGTTTTGTGTATGGACGGATATCCTGTTTATAAATTAAACAAAAAAAAAATCAAAAAGGAACATTTTTGTGACACTTTTACAGTTGACATAACCTTTTGATCATAATTATTGTCTGAATTTTGAACTTTTCCTTTATAAATAGATTCTTGGGCACGTTGTTGTTTAAGGAACTCTTTGTATTCTCTGTAAAATAATTAAGAAATTTTATGAACAATAATAATATGAAACATTAAGAGGACACTGCACACTATCTCCATCTTATGGCAAATTGTACGCCCTGAATAATCAATTTAACTGTTATTATTAATATTGACCTATTATCAAATTTAGAAGTAAGAATATTACCTAGTAAACTTTATAGCATTTATTATGAATATAGATACTACAGATGTCCAACTGCGATACAAAATACAATATGGTAAATCTACTAGTGATCCCAGTGGCGTATTTATGGGGGGGGTCCATGGGGTCCGGACCCCCCCCCCACCCATTGAATTGTGACTCGTACATGTTAAATTTTGTGATTTTACACGATTAAGAAAAACAAATTTTGTAAAAAATTTTTGAAGCTTCAGTTATCAACATTTTCAATAGGTAAATAATGTTATTTTTTTTTGTTATCAGTTTGGTACCGAAAATGGTTGAAAAATACCGAGTTCATTTTTTAATTTAAATATTTTGTAGGTTTATACATTGCCAGTATCTACAGCCACTCCAGAGAGATCTTTTTCAACCTTAAAAAGGTTGAAAAGTTATCTAAGATCAACTATGAATGAAGTAATGTATATTAGGAAATATTTGTATAAAAGTTATAAGTTATAACATAACTATATTAGATTCTGGGCGGAGTGGGGCATCTATTGGTTTTAATGGTGTTAATTTTTTTTATCCTGTATAAAAAATGTCTACCAGAAGGAGAGGTTCGATTTCAACATAATATAGTATCTTATCTTTTAGAAAATTGGATTAAGATGGTACTTATGAGAAAGGTCAATTTTCTCAACAGTCATTTAATGCCAAGGAAAAAACCACCGAAAAATTACGAAAAACCACTAAAAATGGGATTTTAATTTCTAATACTTTGTTTTTCACCGTAGAAACGGATAAAAAAAAAAATTTTCAATATTCATTGAACTTACAGGCTGTAATAAATAATAACAATATATAATATCCAGACTAACAAACCGTCTCCGCTTAGAATCGTTTTTCTTATATAATGATATTATATCATTGAATTCAAGTTTAATACAATTCATTATACATTAATCCACTTGTAACCTACTGTACAGCAGAGTGACATCCACTTACCCACTTTTTTTAAATTTGTTTTGTACATATTATTATTTAATAATTAAAAACTCAAAAATTTTATATCGTCTTATAAACATGGTATATTTATTTAATAAAGAGTAAATGGGTGATGTGGGGGCTTTGCCCCCCGATGTTCTGATTTCTGAAAATATCTGGACCCTCCCTATGACAAATTCCTAAATAGGCCACTGAGTGATCCTGGTGTTTATATCCAGAACTGGCTAGGCGGGCAGTTTATAGGATCCGCCCCATAGTCAGTTCAGGATACTAACACCAGGATCGAAAGTAGATTTAGTGTAGCGTATTTTGTACAGCAGTTGGACATCTATAGCATTCATAATCATTGCTTATAGGTTTTTTTTTTTTATGTCAATTTTAAAACAAGTTATAAGTATTTTAAAATTGTAAATTGTTTGTGCATAAGAACTAAAATGAACGCCTATGAGGTTCACTAGATAATACATTTCTAAATTTGATAATAGGTCAATTCGCTATTAAATTAAAAATAACTGGTTTAGGATTATTTAGAACGTACAATTTGCTAAATTATTCGTTTTTAAAGGGACGTTACAGTGACATTTGTCGTCTCAGTCTTGCAAGTGCGTTATAAAGCAAATTTTAGGTTAAGGATATAAAATTGAACTCCGTTAGTTTAAAAATTAGAGTGAATTGACCTCTTATAAAATTTAAAGCTAAGATTATTATGTAGGCAGTGACATAGGTTTTTTATTATGTTTTAATTTTAAAGCAAGTTATGAGTATTTTAAAATTGTAAATTGTTTGTACATCTTAAAATATTCATAACTAGCTTTAAAATTAAAACATTATAAAAAGTCTATGTTATTCTCTAGATAATAATCTTACCTTTAAATTTTTAAACTAACGGAGATAAACTTGATCTTCTGAGTGTAAAATTTGTTATGTCACGCACTTGTAAGACAGTGAGAATGTATGCAATTGTAGCGTCTTATTAACTGTATTACTTACCTATAGCTTTGTGTGTGATGTGTTGGCTTATCATTTACCTTGATACCATTATTATTGCTAGAGTATATTTTATTTGCATTTGTTGACATATTACCGTTGCTTTTACTGACATGTACAATTTCAGGGCTACAAATAAAATTGTAATACAAATTGTGTGAAAAATAATCACATTAAAACGTTAGTATTATGTTACAATACCTTGCATTGTTATTGTATCTGTTTGTTTCCCTATGCTTTCTATCAGGTTTGTTCAAATATTCCATGCTTCCATTTGCACCCTAAAAATATAATTCAGTAATCAGTAACAATAGTTTATAAGCTAATACATTAATACTGGGTAGTACACCTACTTCATCTGAAGAATGTACGAGACTAGTTGTTTCAGATAATGTCAAACTGTCCATGTTACTGTCTAAACTGTGATTATTGCTCTTAAGAGAGTTGAACTTCCACGATGATCCTCGATTTCGGCCTTCTTTAATGCTTTTCAATTCCAACCATTTAAATATATGAATACGACCCTTTATACAAACCTATGACATTTAAAAAAAACTATAATAGTATTCAAAATATTACATATCATATTGTTAAACATTGCCAACTGATTATTAATATACACTCTTACAGCAGTTGGAGGAGACACCAATGGGTTATTGGCTACATCCAAACATTCCAGACTTGACATTAATCGCAGTTCAACAGGTAAAGATGATATTCGGTTCAAACTGACATTCAATCTTGCTAATTTTATATATGTTAATTCTGTAAAAAAAATTAAATATTAAATTGTTGATCTTTTTTAAGACGTATGTTAAATAATATTTTATTATAATGTTTTAAATTTTTATTTTGCTGGCTGAATAATCATAATTCATATTCAAATTGTTAAAAGTAAAATAATATAAAAATGTGTGCACATTAATTAGTTTACTTGGTTTAAAATATATATTAATTAAATTTCAAAAATTATTTGTAATAGGTAATTTTTGTTCAACTACAAAATGTTATAAACTATTGTAATAATGTTTTACTTACCTAATGGTAACTCAATAAGTAGATTATTTTGTGCGTTTAAACATTTTAATGAGGATAGTTGCCCCAACTGTGGTGGTAAATTAATAAGCACATTACAGCTTACGTCTAACTCGATAAGAGTTTTGCAGAATCCAATTTCGGTGGGTAACTGTTTAAGTTTGTTATTGGACAATAATAGGATTTCAAGAGGTAACTGACACATAGCTGATGGTAGACATGTTAAACGGTTCCGACTATAAAAAAATATTACATCTATATGAATACACATATATTTTTATACGTAACAGGTGAAGATTCAGATAAATCATAACTGCCTATGAACAAATAAAACATATTTTAACTGCCTGGATAACATATTTATTTTAAATTAACTATTATTAAACCATTGATTTTTCTATTAAGCTATACTTATGACAGTTTTATGCTGCCCTGATTATTGATATTATTGTCTATATTTAAATATAAATCAAAATAAATTGTACCATAGTATTAAGAAATCAAAGACTTATACATCCATAAAATAATATTTTGGTATTATTATGTAAGATAGGTAACCAGTAATTACATTTTAGTAAAAACATGTTCTATAATAAAGAGAATAAAAGTGTTAAAAATTGAAGTTACTCATATTTTGACTAGGTGAAAATTGTGTATTTTTATAAATAGTTTGTTTAAGTTTGCCATCAACATTATTAAAGCAGAAAATAATTAAAACAAAATAAATTATAGAGATTTCAATATTAAACGACAATTTATTAATGCTCTTATTTACCATACCAAAATTGGTTGAATAATGAACAGTGTCTTTTTTTACTTTTATTTTTAAAGAAATAAACAATTAAACTTTTAAAAAAAATTAAACATTTGGAAGAACTTTTTTTATATTTGGTATTTAATAATGTTAAACTACAGTCCTTGCTCTAGTTAATAGGTAGTGATTTTCAATAGGTAATTATGTAATGCATATTTAATTAAGACTTTAAATCTAGATAAGATTCACTAAAAATGTTAAGCTTTTACATTAATTAATAAATAATTGTTTAACCTCAGAATGTGAAAATACTAAAAATAATATATGCCCTTGTAAATTATTTTTAATATTCTAATTTAGGTTAAATTAAACGAACAAGAAAAATCATCCTGATTCCTACACATGCTTAATAAATCATGAATGAAATATCACCATTAAAGTATAGCTAAAAAATGCTATACAATTAAAATATGATACAGTAGGTTTTTATGTACCAATTCGATTAGGTAGAATGGTTAAATTGTTTGTTAAATAAAACATTGGTAGGTTTACATTTAAACATCTAAAATTGTAGTTTACAAACAAATTATGTCACTAAAATTATGCTTAGGTATACAATAATATGTACCTACTACTTCAAAGTACTACTTAATGATTTGTATAAAATTCTGATTACTTAATGATTTATATGAGTTATAAAAATGATCGCAGATGTTATCAATAATAAAGACAATAATGATTTGAAATATGTTTGTTTGTAAATTCAAAAGCGTTATTTGTTTATCATCCAATATTAGAAAGAAGTTGCAACTCACATAGGTACACAATAACAAAAAATAATTTATTTTCTAAACATTCTAAGTGTTAAAATCTATGACTCGTAAATCAAAAAAAAAACGACTACCTAGATTAAATAAGTAATAATAACTTTTGTTATAAATCAGAAGTTAAGACTTTTAGATACTTGAATTTGATAACCACCAACCTGAGATCAAGATGCACCAATGATTGAAGTGATGTGACTGTATTGGGTATCGATCGTATAGCATTATGATACAGGTTTAGAGATTCTAATGACCAGAATTTGATTACTTCGGCTGGAAAGTGTGTGAAGCAATTCTTAGAGAGATCTGAAAACAAACGAACGATATCAGTATTATAATGGGCAATCATTTGAGGATTGGGAAAAAGATTTCAAAGGCATTAAGGCGGCCGGTGACGGGTGTGAGCATATTTTATAGGTATACAACAGTATGATTATACTGGTTCTGTTCGCTCTTACCCGCGATGGTCGTGTCGGACAAATCGTATTTATTCGTCACCGGGAATTCCTTTAGTTTGCGGCCGCCTAGTTTCAACTCGCCGCACAGGTGAGCCTCCTCCAGCAGTTTCTCCAGCGACCTGGTCATCAGTCCGTTGTTGCGATGGGAGTACAGCGTCGACGCGCAATCCATCGTGCTGTGTCTGCGAGCTGCGAACGACGATCGACGGCGACGCACGCTGACGCATAGGTGAGTGAGCAGCGGTGGTCGGAAGAGGACTACGAGACCGGACACCGGTGACCCGTGCGATGGACGAGTCGTCCGACGTCGGAAATGCGAAACAAACCGGGCGCCATCGCCGGTCCGATCGTCGGACGCTAGCCGGAATGAATGCTAATCGCTCGACGACCTAGGTAGCAGCTGCCAGTTGCAGGTATAAGGTAAGTGGTAAGCGGGCGGACAGGCGGGACGCCGCGACTCGTACGAGACGCTCGTGTTAAATACGAACGACACCGCACGGACAGGCACTAGGCAGACGAAAGACGACCGTGTCCGGGATTGTATAGGAAAATTTGCGTTATCAACACACTCGTTGACCCCGGCCGAGAGTCATAATGTTATTATTATTATTGATGATGATGATGATGATGACAACGTATCGCGCCGGGTCGTCGTGTGGTAGCCGATGGGTGGGGCGGGTGGTTCGGCGACCGGAAAGGGAAATTTGTTTACGGGAGAACGCAAACCGTCGTCGTCGTCGTGATAAGACCCGTGTGATAAGGTCAAGGAATAATGATAATAATATTCGATTATTGTTATTATTATTATTTTTATTATTCTAGTTCCACGGCCAAGGCACAGCGATAATTTAAAACGACCAAGTGGCCAACCGCTGTTGCGTCAAGTATACCTGTACGGCTATAATACCTACTTACCTACCTATACTATACGCACTAGCGTATACGATTAAAATAATATGATTTTTGTATACCTATTACCTACCTATTACAGTATTTCCTCTATAATATAATACATAATATTATTATATTGTATATTATGATGGCGGTCGCTACTCGCTAGCAGTCGACCCAAACGAATAACCCTCTAATAGTAGTATTATTATTATTTATTATCCTCCTGCACGAAATAATATTATGATCCATTGTGTTGCGGACCGTGATATTACCAGCGTTAGTTATTCCTTAGTTATAATATTATTTATAATTTTTTTTTTCACTGTAAGTAGGTAGGTACTAGGTAGTAGGTACACATGCAACGCGTTCGGAGGTAAAATGTTTTTTTTAATAATATTTTAATATTTTATTCTGAGAGGATCGATTGTAAATTATGTGTATTTTTCTATTTTTATTTATCTATTTAATATAATTTGTTTAGTTTCTATCATCGTCATTTTAGCGTTAACAATGCTTCCACTTTCAACTTAGAGAATAGTTTATGGTAGCAAATTTGATCTAGTTGGTACCTACCTTGGGGGATCAAAAGCACAAAATTCCTTGTACCTGTCTATACCTACCTACTTTTCAAAATAAACCATTTTTTTGTCGTAATTCAAAAATAGAGACCTGAATTTTCACCAATTATACTTAATATTAAATTTTCTAGACTTGAAGTATTTTTCAAAAAACGTATCAAAATCTTTTTATGCTTTTGATACATTTCGTCGAAATTAAGATAATTTATAAACAGTTTTGTAATTAAAAATGTAGATAGTATAACATTTTCAATTTGAATAGCTATGACCTAAAAATGTAAATATGTAAAGTAAGGTTCATCATAAGTAAGTTATTCTTACAAAAATATAAAAAATACAACCCACGATTTTTTTTAATTGATATTTTAAGCTCAAATTTTTACGAAACATTGGAATTCGATGCTTAAATTAAATATAAAATTTTAGTTATGTTGTTATAGTTCAAAACATTTTTAGATTATAACTAGTTTTAAACTATAGTGCTATACCATAGGTACAAACCTAATCACACCATTATACGGTAACTATCGAGTTTTAAGCTGAAATAGTGAAATATATATATATTAGGTATGTATGTATATTTATATCATTACTTATATACAAGGCGATTAATAAAGAAATTAATAATTATAATATGTACATATAGGTAATAGGTATAATATATGTGATTTGTTCTTGACAAAAATTAGTTCAAAATACACATAGGTACCTATTATAACTAAACGAAAAAGGCAATACCTACCTAGCAATATTAATAATTAAATAATAATATACCTACATATTATGATAAAATATCAAAATAGATATAGACTGACAAATCGTCTCCGCTCAACGTTACAAGTTTACAAGTTACTAGTTGTAGGTACACCGATTTATCATATTGAATTAAAATTTAACACATCAATATAACAGTGACCCCTCAATGACGAGCTACACTTGACACCTACTGACCTACCTACTATAGGTACAACATAATAAGCTCCCCTACTTTTTTTCGTTTTGTTGTTCAATCGTTGTCGGAAGAAAACGAAAACAAAGCCATCACTGAACGCTATCACTTTAATAACAATAACCTAACCTAATGAAAAAGGCCAAAACCTATTGCAATGGGTAAGTTAATGAAAAAATTAAATTGATTTATTGAAGTCAACGTTAAGAACGTTAAATCGTTAAGTCAATAGAAAATTGTCAATAAACAATTAATTAGGTATTTAACACGAAAAAAGTTAACTCTTGGTTTAAAGATATATTATAAATAAAAATGATAATTGAATTTAATAAAAATGTGGTATACTTAATTTTATTCATTTTCTATTAATTACCACATGACCAGTAGCGTATCTAGGATTTTATACAAGGGGTAGGGGATATCAAGATTTTAATAGACATATTCACAATACACATATTGTGCAGAAAATTTGGTCTCGGGTGAGGGGGATATGACTCCCCTACCCCCGTTGATACACCACTGCACATGGGTCACACATTTCAATTTTCTAAATAATAATTAAGTAGGTAACTACTTTTAAAAATGTTGTTATACTATTTGTATTGGATATTCCAAGCTGGGACAATCATGACACGTTTGTTTCAATATAACTTTTAAATCCAAGGAATATTTATGTGTTTAATTTGTATTTAAAATCTTTGTATACACTATATGAGTACAAAAAATCGTAGGTACAATATATATTTAGTTATACCTATATTACCTATATAACACGATTTCAATGTAATGTGCCTACCTATTATTCTTCAAATGAACTAGAAAAAGATAGGACGGTAGGTATTACAATGGGTACTTGAACTAGTCAATAAAAAAATTAACTAACTAGGTGGTTCAGTCAAACATTTGAAACAGTTGAAACTTTTAAACTATATATACAGTGGAACCTCGATAACTCGAATCGGTTGGGGGCGAAAAAAAAATTCGAGTTATCGAAAATTCGAGTTATAGAAAAATCTGTGTGTACTTATTGAAATGAAGGGGCGAAGATATTCCTTTGAGTTATCGAAAATTCGACTTATAGAGGTTTCACTGTACTTGCTTAAAACATCTATGAAATCTTTATAGAAGAATAATTCGGCTTTTAGATTTAAATCTGTGTATGTAATGTTAAGTTTAAATGGACGGGAATTAATAAGTTTTCTGAAGGAGATGTTTCAAAAAGATTTAAATTTATTTGTTTTTGATTTAATTAATTCATTCCCACACAACATAAGTCTATACTAGTCAAAATGTATTTTAAAAGAGTTTTATAAGAAGTTTAAATTTAACGGGAATGTATTTATTATATTACATGGAAGAGTTTTTAGAATGCTCAGATATGGTTATTTAAAGATTGTCTTTTAGATTTAATGTGTTGATCCCAAGTTGAATGCGTTGGTCTAGAATTTGGTCAAATATATACCTACTATACCAATATTGTTTATTTTACATTCCATAAGTTCAAATTAGGCTACCATCAGAGCATATCAAATTTAGTACAAATATCGAAAAAAAATACCTACCTATAGAAACTACCTGCCAATCGTCTTTCTGGTTTTAAAATTATTTTACAACAATAAATTTATTTTATATCATACTATTGTTTATTATACTATTAACTGTGTATTTGAGTAGACGTGAATTAAAAAAAATATGCACCGCAAACGTATATACTATGTAGGTATATAAATATATTGTAAAAACATTAAGACAGTAAATCATTTAGATCATATAAATCATAAGTACCCAAACTGTTAAATATTTATGATGAGCTGGGTATTTGGTTTTCAAAATATTGGTCACTTTCTAAAGTAAACGATTTTAAATCGTTTTAAATAATAATATATAATATATTTCCGAATTTCTATATTTACATAAATGCGATTATTGATATAATTCAAAATTGGTTATTTTTTACTTATTATAGCTTACGCATTTATATTCACATTTTGATATTAACAGTCTAGGCAGGTAAGTATAGACTATTGTTAGATGTATCATGTATACATGTATAATGTACCTATATGTAACTGTGCATGTCAGCAATTGTTGAGGGATGTCAGTCATCGGTTAATGTCGTCGTACACCAAAGTCGTTGGTGAATGTTGGCATATTGATTAGATGTGTACTGTTTGTAAACATTTATATAACGATATTAGTGAATGTTGGTAATGCCGATATTATTTAATCTGATATAATCATACTATCTAGTATTCAAGTACTTACCTATCGATATAGTAAAGGTAGGTATTGTACAAGTTGATAATTTTTGTTACCTCACCCAACTACTCTTATTATACCTGGATAACCGCCATGCTATGCTGCCTCGCTAACATTTAGTATGATATTGTCATTATATTTATATTTTATTGCATACGATTGATTTGCAAAATAACTAAAACATTTTTTATAGTAGAAAAATGGATCCCCAAAATATTTTAGTTGCAGTATTAGATGTAGTAAATAATGATTTTTATAAATTAGCTACGAAAAATGGGGTTATAAATCAATTATACACCGGGAACCAGTTTGGTATATAAAGGAAATTTAATATCAATCATTGATGTACAAAAGGATCAACAAATTTCCTTAAAGTAAACTATTTTGCATCAAATTCATCAATTGGTGGCAAGAGTATACGCGATGCAATTGCAAAACAAAATGCAACACAAAAAAGTGTGGTTATAGAAATTTTGGCATTTTATGTAGTAC